TTGCACTGCGAATTTTTTTGTGTAGGACTTATGGCGAAATAATTGAAAGAATGAAGTTCGGATTGAAGTTACGTTTTATTTGGTACACATTCATTAGGTAATATCTTCCACACACAGGTTACATGCAGGTTACAAGTTTTACGTTTTTACCATTTCGAAGTTTAAGATGGACTGCCTTTAACATAATCACCTTACCTTTAGTTTGAATTAATGGAAAGTAGTTTCAATAAAGTAATTATAGTCATTTGTAAAATGGTATAGTGTGATTACATAGGACAGTCCTCTATCCTACTTTCTAGTATAATTCCAGAAAATGCTGAAAGTCTTATCTTAGCTGAAACAGGTTCGTAACAATATACATCACTAGTTATCAAGGAAATCAAATATTAAGTTAGATATCACTAGTTATCAAGGAAATCAAATATTAAGTTAGATATCAAAGCGATTAAATGTGAAGATTTCTAGGGAAATCTAGTGCATTAAAGGCACTTCCCATAGTCAACTATATGCAGGTGCGATAGGTGGATAAACCGTGTGAAGCGCGGTTTATCACACCTTCCCCCTTAAAGAAAAATTTGGTTACAATTTTACAAATTTTTAGTTGGACGCCGTCCTACTATTGCGTTTGTATTACAAGCTGCGGAATTTCTATCGCATAACTCGGGTGATGGTTCTGAGCCATGTCTACTATTTCTAATTGATACAGCATCTAATTCTCGGTCAAAGTACATATTGTGTGTCTGAGGGACGTTTGTGTTTACACGTTGTTTAAAATGTATACATAATCCTGCTCTTGAACATATACCACAACAGTTTTTTGTCTTCTTACAAATACAATAAAAAATTAACAGTAATACAATACTACCTACGATATAAGCCAATATAGAATATTTGTGTACAATAGCTTGATTATGAATATTGTTTCTTAATTTATCATTTATTTTGTCTATTTCATCTAACTTATGGCTAGCTATGTTTAAATCATCTAAATGTCTAGAAATAACCTTATAATGCTTACTTAAGTTAATTTGTGTTATATTTATCTTACTATTACTATTATCTTCACAGCAATCGAAGTCTAAATCTACATTGGGTACGTATTCTAAAAAGATTGTAGAATCCGAAAATATTGAATGAGATATTAACATTGCCGAACTAGAGTATGCCTTGCACCCTTTTCTTAAACTAATTTTACCAACTCCAAAGAGCCGTATGTCAAACGGATTTGTATTTTTACAATTTATAGTTACTGATTCCTCTTTAGGAATTACATATATCCAAGAATTTGAAAGTGTTAGTTGAGTCCAAATGCTATTTTCGAGTTCTGTAATTCTTTTATCACATGAACTAGGAACTTTACTAATACTTCTATATAATTTAATTTCACAAATTTCATGGCGGTACGCCAAATATATAGGTTGTTGTTGTTTACATAAATAGTTATATGAATGGAACTTCTTGCATTTTGTGAATTGGTTTTCTGATATAGTCAAATAATGTTGTTTATTATCACTTACAGCTAAATATTTTGAAATTGGTTGAATGAATATGTATTTATTTTCAATGACGTGAACAGGTAAAGGTGATAATTTAAAGATACTGTACTCTCTACTATCTGTTAATGGTACGTTAATAATATACACTAAATGCGGATTTTGGAAATATACATCTAATCCAATCGTATTAAGAAGTAGGTGAGCGAATTCATTTTGAAGTGGTAACGGAAATTCTAAGCCTTGAGGCAAGTTATGTGAAACCTTTTGTAATTCGGAAACTAATCTGGAAGGAGTTAGTACTGTTGGATGCAACTGACCTTTTTGTGCAACTAAAACTGCATTAATTAGGGATATGGTTTCTAGTTGATATTGATTAAACATTAAATTAAACATAGAAATATGTTCGTCTACAGCTACCTTTAAATCTAAATAATTTATTTGTGAATTTTTATCGTTTAAAGCCTTTTCAATTTTATTCATATTTTCGATTAATATTTTTTCGTTGTGATCCAAGTTTCCTAATGTCGCATTAAAATTTGAAATTGTCGATTTAATTACCACAGTTTGTTCTTTCATTAAGTTTGTTAATGACTCCTCATTTTCACTAAATTGTTTAATTTTGTCATTATAATACTCGGCATCATCATGGTCTAAATTTCCAAATAAAAATTTTACAGTTGAACCTATGAAATCAAAAATTGCTCTTTTTTTCTTGTCTTTATTTTGATGGCCTACTAATTGTTCTAAATTGTTTTTCTCCATTTTGATTTTGTTTAACGATTCTTTAGAGGCTCTCAAAAAATAGTCGCAAACTTTTAAATTATTTACATTAACTATTTTGAAATCACTATAGCTTTTGAAAGCTTGACTTTCGCAAATACTGGCTGTCTTTTCATAATATAATTCAAGTTGTGCAAACTTTTTATTATGATTACTTATGTCTAAATAGGTTATTAATACGAATTCATCGTTATAAAGCTTAACGGTTCCTATTTGTTCGTAATGAATACCAGGCGAATGGGTGTACTTGCTGATGTTGTAATCCCCTTCGGCGCCGGTTTTGGTAATCATTGCGAAGAAAACAGAAGAAAGGATTAGCATTCTGAAATAAATGCAATTAATTTAGTTGTAATAATTATGCAAAAAGATTCTATTTATTATTATTATTATTTTTATTTTTATTTTTTTTTTTATTCAATGCTACTTAATACCCTATAGAATCTAAAACTATAGTAGTGACATTAATTAAGTTAATAATCATTGCACATAAGTCAACTGAAGAGAGCTATCTACACTTCACGGGATTCATGTATCAAGTTATTCCCACAGCAATTAATATATTTTGCCTATAAATTTATTAACTCATGTAATATCCTTACTTTCACAAAACTAATCGAACTTTACCTATAACTTATTTTGCAATATTTTAGTGTAATCTAATCATAAAAATGCTTTAATCTATTATTGTGAACTCTTACTAACCTTCTACCCATTTTAATGGTACAATTTACTGGAGAATCTACCGAAATGACCTTATATGGACCTAACCACTGTGACCTTAACTTTCTGCTTCTTTCCCTTTTTATGGTTTCATTAATGATTAACACGATATCTCCGACGTGAAAACTTTGAACGTTACTTTTCCTATCGTAATATTCTTTACTTTTTGATTTTGTATCAATTAAATTTCGTCTAGCAAGTTCCCTAGTATATCGCAATGTATTTTTCAAGTCTTGCACGAAATCATCATAGGTATAGCGAAATTCTGGGGGTCCTGTTATAGAACTGGGCAATTCTGCTGGATGTCCATATACTAATTCAAAAGGGGTAAATTTTGTTGAAGTATGTACAGTTGTATTAAAAGTAAACATGGCGAATGGGATATATTCGTCCCAATCTGTTTGGTCTTCCCTAATGTAGTTTCTGAGGTATTCTATCAATGTTTTGTGGCTGCGTTCCAACGCACCATTAGATTCTGGATGAAATGCTGAACACTGAATTTTTTTAATTTTAAATAGTGTACAAACATTTTTAAACAACTCGCTAATAAAGTTTGATCCTTGGTCTGTCAACAATACTTTTGGTATTCCGTGCCTACAAATAATGTCTGTAACAAATTTACTTGCTACCGTTTTCGCTTCCTGATTAGGAATTGGTATAGCCTCGCTAAATTTAGTTAAATCATCTTGAAATGTCAACAAATACCTATTACCGTTTTGTGTTAATGGCAAAGGACCTACTATATCCATTGCACATTTTTCAAATACAGTTTTCGAAGTGTTTGTAATTTCTAATGGCATTTTTGTTTTTAAAGAACTCGTCTTATTTCTTTGACAAAGTACACATTTCTTTACATAATCCTTAATATCTGACTTCATGTGTGGCCATTTGTATTTTTTCTTTACCCTATTGTACATCCTGTTATACCCTGCATGTCCTCCTAAAATTTTATCATGATATTCTTCTAAAATTGTCCTCTTTTGTTCGTCATCGATTTCTGTTAACGTTTCCGCTTTTTTATTACAAACTAAAATATCTATACCACTACTTTTGAAAATATACCGTAACATAATTCTGACCTTTTCCCATTCTAATCTATCTAAACCGCATCCAATTCGTGGAATGGCTAATTTCCTTATATTGTCTTTTTCTAACTGCACTCTAAGATTTACAATTGTATTCCATAAGTCCTCATAAGAAGGTTTATCAAAGTAATTTAATTTCGTAATCAAGTAATAGATTTTCCTATCTCCGACATCTAGGATAGCTACTTCGTGAATTGATTTTTGTTGATTCTTTAGTTCGTCAACTTTACCAAATTTTTGCTTGAACTCTAAAGCTATTCCTTGATTCATGACAAAATCCTGCGAAACGCAGTGTGCTAAAGAATAATTATTTGCAACATTAAATAAATCGTCGTTACATTCTTGCACGTTATTGTTAATAACTAAATTGGTTTTAATAAAATCTGTAAATTTTGAATAAGTGTATTCGTCCGAGTTTAAAACAAATACTGGAATTCTACTTAAAGCATCAGCATTAGTATTAACCCTTCCTGCCTTGTAAATAATCTCATAATCATACTCTGCTAGTTTCAACTTCCAACGCATTAGTCTAGATCCTGGATCTTTGACACTAAACAACCACGTCAAGGGTCGATGATCTGTAACTATTTTGAATTTAGTTCCATAAACGTAAGGTCTAAATTGTTTTACAGCATGTACTATCCCTAATAATTCTTTTTCGGTAACTGAGTAATTTAATTCTGCTTGATTTAATGTTCTAGAAGTGTATGCGATTGGTAAATCCTTTCCAATATCTCCTTGGGATAATATACCACCTATTGCAAACTGACTGGCATCTGTAGTTATGATGAATGGTTTTGAATAATCTGGGTATTGGAGTATCGGAGCGCTAATTAATTTGGTTTTTAATTGATCAAACGAATGTTGGCACAAGTCGGTCCAAACAAACTTTGTGTCCTTCTTTAACAAATTAGTCAATGGTTTGGCAATTTTCGAATAATCTTTAATAAATCTACGATAATAGCCTGTTAATCCTAGAAATGCCTTAATATCTTTTGATATCTTTGGTACGGGATACGTCTTTACCGCTTCTATTTTCTTTTCATCCGGTTTTAACCCTTCACTCGTAATAGTATGACCTAAATAATTAACCTCTTTATGCAAAAATTCACACTTATTGGGCTCTAATTTTAAATCGTACTTGCGTAATCTATCGAAAATTTCTACTAACTTTTCTCCGTGCTGTTTTAAATCATGGGAGTAAATTACAATATCATCTAAATACACAAAACACTTAATTCCCTGTAATCCACTAAGTACAGTATTCATTAACCTTTGGAAACTAGACGGAGCGCCCTTTAAACCGAAAGGCATTCTAGTAAAATGGAAATGGCCAAAAGGTGTTGAAAATGCTGTTTTTTCCTGATCTTCCCTATCTAAGGCTAACTGATGAAACCCACTTTTCATGTCTAAAGTACTAAAGTATTTTGAATTGCCTAATTGATCTAGGATTTCGGTAATATTTGGTAAAGGGAATGCGTCGCCTATTGTTACATCATTTAGTTTTCTAAAATCAACAACCACGCGATACTTAACCTTGCCGCTCGCGTCCATTTTCTTTGGTACGACTAATAGCGGGGAGTTGTAAGGACTCGTGCTAGGTACAATTATACCGTCCTTCAACATCTCTTCGGTTTGTTTACCAATTTCTTCCTTTTGCGTTTGAGGTATCCTATAAGGTTTAGCATAAATTGGACCTACATTTGGCAAAGTAGGAATTTTGTGGGTGGTAATATTTGTAGCAGTTAATTTATCACCTTCTAAAAAGAAAACATCACTATACGTCTTACAAATTTCTAGCAATAAATCCTTCTCTTCTACATTTAGGTGCTGAGTACGTAACGAATCTAATAAGGTTTCAATTCTATTTCCTTGTACTTCGCCCTTTATACTATTTACTTGTACGAACTCTAAATCTTCTAGCTCTATTATTGGAGGTTTTATGTACTGATCCTGCTCTGAAATATTTATTATGCTAACCACACACGAATTGTTTATTGCCTGAGTTAAACAGTTTCCTAAATATATTTCTTCACTAACTTGTTTACCGTTACAAACACCCATTCCATCTGATATTGTCCGAACTCTAGTAATAGTTTCACTTCTTGCAGGAATCAAGATTTCATCCAAATTTATTAATCTATACCTTTTATCTCCAAATTCCAAAACATTGTTCCTGTAATCTAAATTTGCTTGTAGTGCGTGTAAAAAGCTATTTCCTAAAATTCCGTCTCCTTCTACGAAAAAATCATCACTAACTATATGAAATGGAACAACAATTTCTCTGTCGGATAAACAAAATTTTTCATCGACAACTCCTAAGGTTCTGATAGTGGTTTCATTTGTGATACCCTTTATTTCAACAGACCGATTTTTATCAATTACTATATCTTCTCGTACTGCCCTACATTTAACTAAAGTAATATCTGCTCCCGAATCTATCATTAATCGATTAACCCTCTTCTTACAAAAATTTAAGGGAATGTCTACATATTTTAATTTACATCTAGCTAAGTTAATCTCGACCTTGTTCTGAAATTCCTTTAATTCGATTGTTTGTATATTTTCTGTCCGTTTATCACGATACCTGTTGTAATTATGAACTCCACTGCCTACGTTAGTAACCTTGCGCTTTCCAAAATTGCGATTGAGGTCTTTCCTAAAACTCACTTCTCCAACTGACCTCTCGTTGAAGAGTTTTTTTCGTTTCCCGAGTTCCTGTTTATCGAATGAGGATTATCATTTTGTGTTGCTTTTAACCTTTCATTAAATATTCTTTTCCTACAGTCTGCAATTCTGTGATTTGGTTTTTTACAATAAAAACATATGGGCTGGCTTTGCATTGAAAACACTTGAGGTTTTTTCACACTAACAAAATTTTGAACACGTGAATCGTTCGTTTTAACACTATTGTTTTTATAAAAACAATTTGAAGCTGAATGACCTGATTTCTTACAAACAAAACAATTCCCTTGAACTGTACGTTGATTTGAATTTACCTTATAACCAAAATAATTTTGTGAATCGCGATTACTCAAAAGTTCTCTTTCTTCAATTCTAGCTAATTCAACAGCTGATTCTAAAGTTTTGGGGTCCCTACTTTTTACGTGCATTTTCAAAGGTTCTTGCAATCCTGTGACAAACACATTTAAGGCTTGTAATCTCAATAATTCACTGATAGTTACCGCTTCCTCTTGGGTTTTATTTACCGTCGCCACGTCTAACAAATTGCTTAAACATTTTTCAATTTTGTTTGAATATGTATCTAAATTTTCACCTTTTGACTGTTTAGTTGAATTTAACTCTAACTGCCAATGCGAAAGAGTTCTCTTTTCGGCAAAAAGTTCTTCTAAATGTTCCTTAAAAAAATCCCAATTTTGAAAATTTCTGTATTTTATAAAATTCCTAGCTTTACCTGAGACTTTTGTTTTAATAATTTGAAATAGCATATGGGAATCGACTTGCCTAACTGAGTTTAAAATAATCTCACAATTATCTATCCATTCCGTAACACTTTCTTTGCTGTCCCCACTAAAATTTGTTAATAACTTTACTGCTGCATCTAAACTTAAAAACTGATCCCTACCTGCTGCATTTACACTACTTGAACCTTCTGCTAAATTTAAGTTGGAAACATCACTTACATTATTGTCAGGCATTTTTGTACTTTATTGCTGGCTGTTCTACGGATTACGAAATTTGTTAAACTATACTGATTCGTGTCGAAATACTGCTTAAATGAAATTATTAACGTTCAAACAGCGAGCTACTAAGTAGGTAATAATTAAGTTACAAAATGTTCGTATAAATTTCTGACTTACTTTTAATCTGATGAAAATGTGTAAAATCCAAAGAATAGCGAATAGCACAATGCACCCGAAACTGTAGAAACTTATTTCACTAACAAACACTTTAACGCTGACACTGCCTCTTCTTGGGAATTTTGGGTTTTGGTAATTCGGGTCTGGATTCTTCTAGTTTTCGGTAACGACGGGCCCTTGTCTGAAAAACTCGAATAATCCTGGATTCAAATCACCGCAAATACCGTTTCTTGCTCAGCTATTCCAAACATAGGATTTCCTATTTACCCGGAACGCCAAGTTTGACTGGATTTTCACCAATCTATACCGCTGCCACCAAATTTTGTTGTGCAACCCCACTGAGTTGCACTGCGAATTTTTTGTGTAGGACTTATGGCGAGATAATTGAAAGAATGAAGTTCGGATTGAAGTTACGTTTTATTTGGTACACATTCATTAGGTAATATCCTTCACACACAGGTTACATGCAGGTTACAAGTTTTACGTTTTTACCATTTCGAAGTTTAAGATGGACTGCTTTAACATAATCACGTTACCTTTAGTTTGAATTAATGGAAAGTAGTTTCAGTAAAATAATTATAGTCATTTGTAAAATGGTATAGTGTGATTAGATAGGACAGTCCTCTATCCTACTTTCTAGTATAATTCCAGAAAATGCTGAAAGTCTTATCTTAGCTGAAACAGCTTCGTAACAATATACATCACTAGTTATCAATGAAATCAAATATTAAGTTAGATATCAAAGCGATTAAATGTGAAGATTTCTAGGGAAATCTAGGGCATTAAAGGCACTTCCCATAGTCAACTATATGCAGGTGCGATAGGTGGATAAACCGTGTGAAGCGCGGTTTATCACATAGGTTTCCCTATCCCATGCACCGAAAACTGTTGTTTTTTATTCTAATTAAATACGAATTGTGGTTAGTTACGCGTACAAAAACAAACCGCGACTTCTGCCAGGATTTAAATCCATATCCTTCACTTTTTTCTATTATAATTATTATTCGATCGACAAAGGCGATAATTTTAATTGGGTGGAAAGTGGGAAAAATTCGTGCGGCGACCGCAAAGGGAACTAAAAAAAAGCCACCCCCGACACGGATTTGTCAACACCTTATAATATAAACCTGTCTCGATCCTCATCTTTCAATTAATATACGCGCACCATCTACTTAAAACTAAGAGGCTTTAGAACAAAAAGCGAGGGGAAAAACGATTTGAAATGTAAGCGGAGAAAAAATATGATTTAGACGTATATATAAATAAGATAAGTCGCCTTTCGAGATAAGAATTATTTAATATTTATCGGTTTATAGATAAGGGCTATAGCCCTGCGACAAAAGGAGAGAGGGATGTTAAAAAGTTTACTAATTGGGTGCTGAACTCAAAATAGCCTTTTCTATATAAAAAAGGATCGACTCGTGTGATGCTAAAACAATTTAATGGTCCGTCGTAAACGCGATGATAATAAAATTGTAACAAGTTTATTTAGGATTACGTCTTTCAATATTTGTTAATCTTTTAGTTTGGTGCCATTTTAATTATAGGGCAAATAATCAACAATCCCTTCCGTGTTTTGTTTTCGATGTCGCATTTCCTTTAACCTGACCTACCTTTTTTTTTTAGAAAATCGAGGATTAGTATCGGGTTTGGTCTCAATTTCAATATTTGCTTGACCATAAAAAACGCCACAAGTGGAGATTAGGTAAAGGTACCTGATGGGGGAATCGCGGTTTTTGTTTTTGTAGGGAATAAGGGGTCAATTCAAAGCCTGATGTTGACTATAGACATCAAAAGGAAAAAAAACCAACCGGAAATAATGTACCATTTCAATTAAGAACCTTTGAATTCTTGAAGGGTCAGAAAATGAATCAAAAATAATTCTTCATGTTTAATTAAACTTAAAAAGGGCTTTAAAAGGTTTGTCGTTTCAAATTAGACACTAAAAGATGAATTTTTGCACTTAAACTTCGAAAGTTGAATCTTTACTTGACATACCTAACAAAATTGGGAAATTGTCAATAATTCCACAGTTCTATATATACAGGGTGTCTTAAATTGAGTAAGATAACATGCCTATCTTTGTTACTCTTACAAATTCGGTTAAATTGGCAAAGCATTCAGATGCGATATTTTAAAAAAAATAAATCGTTTTGTAGATAATTAAAAAAAAGTGAAAATTTAGTATCACTGGTTTTGCAATTTTTTTCTCTGTCAAGTGACGTAAAAATCCAATATGGCGTCCATTTAAAATAAGGAAGTTGATGTCAATATCTCGAAAACCGCCATTAAAAAAATGTTTTTTCTACGTTCATTGAATTTATCCCATCCAATCTTGCAGCTTTTATTTAAAACTTTTTTCGATACCTCTCTTTGTTACTAAAATATTTAAACTTTTTAAAAATGTCGATTTTCACTTGTTTCTAATTATCTACGAAACGAATTATTTTTTTTTAAATATCGCATCGAACAACTTTGCCAATTTATCCGAATCTATAAGTATAACAAAAGAGCCATGTTATCCTACTCAATTTAAAACACCCAGTATACGGATTTTAGTAAAAGTTCTATTAACAGAAACTCACGCGGATCAAATTGTGCCTTATTAAAAAAAAAACTCATTTTTGATAGTAAAAAACTATAAGATTTCCAAAAAATTCCTGATGCAATACTAATTATACTACCTTAGAAAACCCCCTAAAAATTATGATTGCGGCATATGACCAGTTTTAATCTAATGTCACGTCCAAAAGTCTGGTCACGTTTTATTTGCCTAAAAGTAATAGCGCATTTTTCATTTTAATAATAATAATAAATTATATTTTCATGTTTTTGCACAGTGGCGCTTAATTTCGTCATTATTTTCTAATTAAATAGCATATGTACCGGGTGACCCAATAACACTGCTCCTCGGCCATATCTCGGAAACTGTTCGTCGTATGACTTAGGGGGAAAAAAATTATTGGGTAAATCGTCATCGGAGAATCGCTGGAAAATATTTTCAAATTCTAAAAATGACCACCAGAGGGGGGGGGGGTCTTAAATTTTAAAATTGCATGCTCTTTAAATTTCGCATAATAAACTAAAAAAAATCAATTATTTCAAAAAACAAAGATGGTGGTTCAATTGTTTTTGCAATAACCTGCTTTAATTTCTTAACGGTTTGACCGATTTTAACAAATTTGGTATCGTTGAAAAGAGCATTCCTTATGCAATAAGAATCAACCATATTTTCTTATAGAATGGGGCGGGCCTGTAGATTCCATAATTTCAAACAGTTCCAAGATCGGACTACTAGATCAAAAGTTACAGCCCTTTCAATTTTTTGTCGAAATTGGCCCATAACTTTTGATTGAGACGTCTAATCGAAAAAGTACGAATCGTTTTGGATTCTACGCACCAAAATTAATAAGAGAAAGTGTTTTCCCGAGAAATTTGGGTGTAGTCGATTTTTGGAAAAAAAGGAAGGTTAAACACTGCCTTTTTTTGAGCCCCGAAAAAAAAATTGTCTCAGATCGACCAGGAAAAAATATTTTCTTATAGAATGGGGCGGGCCTGTAGATTCCATAGATTCAAACAGTTCCAAGATCGGATTACTAGATCAAAAGTTACAGCCCTTTGAATTTTTTTTGTCGAAATTGGCCTTTAACTTTTGATTGAGACGTCTAATCGAAAAAGTACGAATCGTTTTGGATTCTCCGCACCCAAATTAATAAGAAAAAGTATTTTCCCGAGAAATTTTGGTGTAGTCGATTTTTGAAAAAAAGGAAGGTTAAATAAACACTGCCTTTTTTTGAGGCCCCAAAAAAAATTGTGTCAGATCGACCGGAAAAAAACATTTTCTTATAGAATAAGGCCTGTAGATTCCATAATTTCAAACAGTTCCAAGATTGGGCTACTAGATCAAAAGTTACAGCCCTTTTTTTTGAATTTTCTTTCGAAATTGGTTTTTAGTGCATAACTTTTGATTGAGAAGTCTAATCGAAAAAGTACGAATCGTTTTGGATTCTACGCACCAAAATTAATAAGAAAAGGTGTTATCCCGAGAAGTTTGGGTGTAGTCGATTTTTGAAAAAAAAAGGAAGGTTAAACACTGCCTTTTTTTGAGGCTCCAAGAAAAAATTGTCTCAGATCGACCGGAAAAAAACATTTTCTTATAGAATGTGGCCTGTAGAATCCATAATTTCAAACAGTTCCAAGATTGGGCTACTAGTTCAAAAGTTACAGCCCTTTGAATTTTCTTTCGAAATTGGTTTTTAGTCCATAACTTTTGATTGAGAAGTCTAATCGAAAAAGTACGAATCGTTTTGGATTCTACGCACCCAAATTAATAAGAAAAAGTTTTTTCCCGAGAGATTTTGGTGCAGTCGATTTTTGGTAAAAAAGGAAGGTTATACACTGCCTTTTTTTTGCCCCGAAAAAAAATTGTCTCAGATCGACCGGGAAAAAATATTTTCCCAAGATATGGTCGAGGAACAGTCTTATTGGGTCACCCGGTACATATGCTATTTAATTAGAAAATGATGAAATTAAGCGCCACTGTGCAAAAACATGAAAATTATATTATTATTATTATCAAAATGAAAGATGCGCTATTACTTTTAGGCAAATAAAACGTGACCAGACTTTTGGACGTGACAGATTAAAAATGGCAAACAATTTTTAATTTTTTTGGGAAGAGTGATTTGGAAAAACACAACGTGCTTTTGTTGCGAACACAAGTTTGACAGTTTGATCCATCTGGCTGGTTGCAGCGGAACTATTGTTAACAAAATTCGATTTTCATCTGAACAGAATTGAACCTTCGCTTTGCAAGAAAATTATAATTCAAATTAGAACAAAATACATAAGAATAAATAATATTTTTGGAGTAAAACTAGCACAAACGTAAATGACATTACTCGAGATAAGTCAACCTACGTTTTGTTTTTCCAAAGCACTCTTCCCAAAAAATCAAAAATTGTATTTTTAGAAAAAATGTGATACTGAACCACCATGTGTGATATACGTGTTTTTCCGTCATCTTAAAAGGTATTAAAAACGGGATGCCATATTCGAAATTCGGTAACATTTAAAATCTGTGGAGGGGCAACCCATAAATGACGTAACGCAATTATTTCGAAATTTTTATCCCCCTTCCCCTCTGTGTAACACTTTTGCGAACATCCTCCTAAAATTGCATTAACACTATAATAACCAACCCTCTTTTTTTATGTGCAAAAATTAGTGCACAATTTTTTTATTTTGATTTCATTTAAAAATTGTTTCTGCGACTATTCTTTATATCTATTAACCTATGGTCAGCCAGTGGCGTAACCACAATGGGGCCCCGGCAAAAATTTAAGTCATTTATAAAAAATATGAAAAAAATTGAAAATGTTCAATGTTATGCTTTTGTTAATTATGTAGGTCGCGCACACAAAAACAAGAGAAAGTTTATTGAATAATTAATCAAAAATGTAAAATAAATCAAAAAGGCTGAAGAGTTCCTACAAATTTATACA